TTTGAAAAGGGACGAATTTGGTTTGAAAAAGGACGAATTTGGTTTGAAAAAGGACGAATTTGGTTTGAAAAAGGACGAATTCAAAGTGAAAATGGTATATATCGGTGAGCTTCACCACTGCTGCAGAATCGGTCACGAGATTCAAAAGAACTGTTACGAACGTTTGTGACACCCTCGACCCTCGCTTCAGTTTCAAGCTTCTTAGCCATTTCAAACATGTTATCTCAGCAACAAAAGGCCCGCGCATTAGACTGCATGAAGAGCGGAGAGATGCGCAACAAAATGAGTGTCGGTGAGTAATAAATATTGCTGATGTTCACTTCATCCATTCCGTTATCACAATCAAAGCGAATTCATTGCGGTGTGTGCGCATAAGAAAAGCGCGGCTCTGCGCTTGACACTGCAACAGATTCAGAAAAAGTGAAACGTCACTTCAACCAACCAGTAGTGGCATGGGAAACTAACATATCTAGACACTGCCCAGCCATACTTGAATTTTTTGCACCTTCTTCGGCAAAACCCAGATAAATAGCCAATCTGAAAAGCAATTCCTATTACACGAATATAAGACGAGTGTTTGGGAGATCTTACTTTGTTGGTGTCCATTGCGACATACACCTCTTAAGAAGCCCAATCACTTCCAAGCACACCGTCTCATCAGTTTTCCGTTTGCATCCCATAGCTTGCAAACTCTGGAAAAAAAAGCTAAAATCAAATTAAAAATACAGACACGAAAAACAAGTATTGTTGCAGAGAATAGATAAGCAAAATCACTGAAAGGCTAAGCGCATTGAGTTATTGCCTTATTCGCTAGTCCGTTGAGTGAATTGTCAATTTCAGAGGTTAAACGCTCAGGAGCGGAATCTTTGTACGAGTTCAAAACTGTTCAAAGCAGGAATACAGGTGATATACGGAAAAAGCGATGAATATCTTTTTCCCTCAATATCCTTCACTAGGCATCCCAAACCTGTGATGAAAAGGTCGCAAACGACTGTGACATCTGAGAGTCAGGAACAGCATTCGGACGTTTGCTGAAAATGCGAAACAACAGCATCAAGATTGGTACCACAGCATCCGCATGGCGTGAGTCCAAGAGATTTCCCTGAACAAACACTTTTCCTTCCATTTCGCTGAGCGAATATTCTCTCCAACACCTTCCTGAGAGTGGCCAAAACTATGCCTTTTTCGATTTTGATCACACTAGCATGACTGCTTAAAGGCACAGTTCGCGACCGCAAGTTGCGGGAAACGGAACTCAAATAGGCACAAAAAAGTGGTAAGTATCTGATTAGCGGAGAAAAGCTGCAGAAAAAGCAGTCCGAAATGTTATAGAGAAAGATAACATGTGGCTACTAGCTAGTAGCTAGCAGCCGATGAGGGTCGGCATGGGCCTAATTAGTCAGCTTCTAGCGGAGTTCTTGCCGTTTTTCACATTTCGAAATTAGCGCAGCCTAAAAAAATCGCCTTCCGTATCGTCCGACACATTTGAGAGGTCATAGCCTTATTTGAGAGCTCGGAATGTGCCTTTAAGTTTGATAAGATCCTAAGAAGGTATAAGTTCAGTTTTGTAATATGGACATGTTAGTTTCACGTGCGGATACTGGTTAGCTGACGTGAGCCCTCAGATTTTTCGGTGCATTGCAGAGCCAACCGCACACATACGCGTGATCTCTGCGCAGACGGCAACGAATCCGCTCTGACCGCAATAAGATGAGGAGAACATCAGCAATGTCACCCACTTTGAGGGCAGGAGAGCCAGACCCCGCTTAGGATTATCTTATTCTCTCCGAATACTGGCGCAAAGCGTCGCTTTTCCTATCTCCTTATCCTCTTACATTCCCAAACACCAGCGTCCGGCGCCGATCGATACCTTTCTACAGCTGCGATCCCGTCTATGGTACTGGGGCGCTACAACGCGACGACGCGTGTCATCGCAAAGTCTGAATACAGCCAAACATGTAGCCAAAGCAGTTCTCACGATTCTCCGCACATCGTTGACAAAGATTTTACGCGGGGGGGGGGAGGGGGCACAGCTTTCAGTAACAGCAGACAATTTTTTATATTCTTGAAGTATTTCAATTTCTATGCACTTTCATCAACTGAGTGTAATCAGTACGGTGGCAGAACACTCCGTATCACATCTGCACGAAATGGAAGCCGCACTTCACCCAAACTTAACAGGTTTCTCCCGTCGAAAGTCACCGGCTTCACAGCAATATTGGTAGATACCTCACTAAATTTTTTGGCAGCTCAACCTTGAACTGAGCTCTTGTGAGATACATGGGACACATAGTGAACGCTTGATGTGTGACGCATTCAACAGGAATCAGCGCAGGTCCTCAACTATTTATTACCTCATTCAGACGTTCCGTGGCCAGAATCAAGAGCATACCGTTCTTTTCAAGAGACCAGTCCTTGATCAAATGACATATGTGAAACCAGTCGGCACGCCCCCTTCCGTAATACAGCCCTGCTCCGGAGGCAGGCTCGGTTTTGCCACAGATTCTTGCTCTTGTTTCAATACCCAACTAATGCTCGGCTTTTCTTTTATCTGTACACATCAACGCTTATTAACCATCAACAACACACCTTCGATTTCGAACAGTATTACCTTCTATGACATGGTGGCAAGGATTGTTGAACAAGTTCGCAGATCAGACTAAGCCGGGTATTAGTTAGGTATTCACAGATACGAAAGAAGGCACGCTTGACGAAATAGAGCCGTATCACAAAAAAGGTGCACCATCATTACCTGGCGAGTCGACTGGTATCAAACCTGTGACGACTGTGTAAGATTGTGACTGCATTCTGAAATTCAGTCAAAAAAATGAGTACCTTATGGGTGAGGGCACACCCCACACACCGCGGGCGGATTAAAGCACACTACAGACAGCTCATTCTTGCCAGACGTTTCGCTTCTCCAACAATTTTTCCCATCTCCAATTCGCTCAGGATTAAGTTATGAAATTTCGTAGGAAGCACCGCCCGTCTCAATTACTGCCCGCTCATTCTGAGGGTGTTTAGCCAGTCCGTCCACTGACCCCTTCATGACCTCACCCCACCTTCCCGAAGTGCCTATGCCCCTCCAACCAATTCCTAAGTTTTTAACTTTTGCCCCTACCCCACCTAGGCAGCTCTTCTCGCAATGGGTGTCTCACTTCCATTTCAATGGCCTCATGTACACTTTTTTCACTATCTCTGAGGTGTTGTGAACCGAACCACGGATTTCGGTTTCGTTTCCGGCCTTTTCATGTGCCTCTTCCACATCATTCCCCTATCTACCGGTGTCTGGAGTGCCTTAAAACCGTTTAACAGATCTCTCGTCTGGCCTCGCCCGCCTCAGCGTGGGCCTCACCCACAACGTGCGTGTCCCACATTTCTCAATCAGCTACCCCTCGCTGACCTTAATCCACGTTTCTCTGGTGTCTGGAATACCCTGAAATCGTTTTACAGATCTCTTCGTCCGGCTCCGCCCACCGCAAGCGAGCTCAGCCCACAGCGTGTGCCTCACGATCCTCAACCGGCGACCCCTCGCTGAAGCTAATCCACTTTTTCTCGGTGTCCACTGGAACCGTCTTACAGATAGTTGCTTCTGGCTCCGCACCTCCTTCCCTAAGCATGCCGACAATGTCTATTCCATATTTCTAAACTGGCTACCCCTCCCTGACCTTAATCCACTTTTTTCCGAACTCTGGAGTGCTCTGGAACCAAACTGCAATTTTTTGATATGAGTACCCTATGATTAAGGGCACGCCCCGAATAATGTGGGCAGGTCCCAACACACACAGGCATGCCCGACTCTCGCCAGATGTTCCCATACTACATCGACTTTTTTGTGGTATCTAAACTCTTGTGGACCGAATTAATGAATTTAAGGGGAAGCACCGCCCATCTCAAGTACGCCCCACCCATTCCGGGTGTGTCTCCCCTGATTCGTCTTTCAACCCCTTACTTATCTTATTCCACTTTTTCCCATCTCTGAGCTGCTCTGTCTGGAAGCGAAGTATAAATTTTTGCGGCACCGCCACCCACTATGGGCTGGCTTGACATAAATCAAGTGTGCTCTTCACTTCCTGTCCCATGCTCTACCCATCCCAACCTTGATCCGACCTCATGGAGTTGTTTTTCAGGTCGAACCGTATTTCCAGACAGACAAACAGACAGACAGACAGACAGACAGACAAAGAGTCAAGGAAACAGACCAAGCAAGTTATATGTAGTGGGCAATAGGCAAAAGGGGTACAGAAAGGAACGACAAAGACGCGCCGCGTGGAGGAATCGAAGTTGTCAAATGAAAAAATTCACGACTGAACCAATACAACGATAATCAAAGCACCAAAACATCGACTGATAGCTTCGACTAGAAAGGATTTCAGACAGGAAAAATTGCCCTGAAAACATTTTCCAGGAGGGCCCCATGTTTCAAATGAAATACACACTACGACTAATATGTCTCAAATTGTCACCAATGAAGAGCTGGGAAACAATGTTCCAGCTGATCCGATCAAATAATAACTTTGGGATAAGTAAGGGAAGCATAGTCACGCGCGGAAGCTCATCTGACAGGATTGGTACTCAGGAGTAATCAACGATGATGCACTTTGGGTGATACCCGCGCCCACAACACTCATTTTTTTCATATAGGGCTCTGTAGAAGATAAATCCAAGAAAGGAAAATCACCACATGGATACTATATTCAAATTGGACATACACTGGTGTGCAAAACTTAGGTAGGGACAAAAGCAACTTTCGATCACTGTGCCTCTGCCAGACAACATAGCTCGATGAAATTCATACCATATCAAGAGAGAACCTTCGCGATATTGTACAGAAAGCAACTGACAGAAACTCTGAATAAGACGAGTTGTTATGACATTTTTATTCAACCATGTCGATTACACATAACTCTTTACGATTTATCCTGGTACTACAAAAGATGTTACACTGATCCTAATAGGGTGTGTGATCACCACGGACAGCAATACATGCTCTGCACCGCGATCCCATACTCTCCACGAGGTTGGTAATGAGTTCCTGGGGCAGGGCATTCAACTCCTCAATCAGTGCATTTGACCTTGCTGGATCGTCACTGCGTGCATTTGGTCGTGCTGCAATGCGTCTACCCAGTGCATCCCAACACGTGCTCGATGGGATTTAGGTCGGGGGACGGGCGGGCCACTCCATTCGCCGGATATTCTCTCGTTTCTAGAAGCTCCTCCACCTGTGCTGTTCGATGCGGTCGCGCATTGTCATCCATGAAAATGAAGTCAGGGCCGATTGCAGCTTTGAAAAGACGGATATGATGTAGGAGGACCTCGTCGCAGTAACGCTTACGTGAGGGTTTCATGCTCAAAATCTGGAGGTCAGTACGGCCATGCAACATGACGCCTCCCCATACCATAACACTTCGACCACCAGTACGATCACGTTCGACAATGTTTCGGCGAGTTGCGTTGCGTGTTCCCACCTCTCGCATATGACTGCGTCCAGAATCACTGCTCAGACTGAAACCTGCTCTCATCCGAAAAGAGCAGGGCTCCATTCCTCATCGGTCTATTCGCTATGCCTCCTGGCACTACCGTAAACGGTCTCGCTGATGCGCGAGTGTCAAAGGAAACAAACGTAACGATCGTCGGGCGATGAGACCACCACCATGCAGTCATCTTGCCACTGTACTGCGTGAGATGGATTGCCCTAGAGTCCTGTTAAACGTCGTTGCAATAAGCCGAAACGACTGACGAGGATCCCTTCTAGCTTGCTGCACAATGTAGCGGTCGTCCCTTGGTTGTAGTGTCCTTGGTCGGATACCTCCTCGTCTTCGGGCAGCAGTACCAAAGGTTCGGAACGCTCTCCATGCCACTTGAAACAGCGCTGTGAAGCGATACCGAACTCCTGGGTTAAACTCGTCATGGTTCGACCTCCTTCGGAGTTTCTCTATGATCCTTCCTTCGAGTGAAGTCTCCAGATGCTCTCTTCGGGACATGATGTATTCGAAATATACTACCACAGTTCTTTGCAGCTACTCGTTGATTGAGAAAAAAATTTGTTTCATAACCATAGACTGCCTCGATTTGCGCGGTCGGCCATATTTGGCACTTCATTCAAGCTCTTCTTCGCACGATGAA